CCGCGGCGCTGGTTCTGGCGCTGCTGCTGGCGCTGCCGCCGGCCCTGCTGGGGCTGCTGCTGTGGCTCCCGGCGCAGGCCAAGCGCCGGCCCTTCGTCCACCAGCACGCGGCCGCCGCGGCCACGGCCGAGCCCTGGGACCCGCGGCGAGCCCGCGGCTTCACCTTCCTGACGGCCAACGTGTGCCTGCTGCCCAGCGGGCTGGCCCGCTTCAGCAACCTGGGCGACACGCGGCGGCGCGCGGCCCGCATCGGCCAGCTCCTGGCGCCCGGGGCGCCGGCGGAACCTTCCGGACACCGCCGCGGGCTGCTGGAGCCGCGGCAGGGCCGGGGAGGGGGCTACGGGGGCACGCTCAGCACCGCGGCGCGGGGGCACCCGGGCGGAGATTGCGGGGTGGACCCATGGATGGCGGCCAGGATGGAGGAGACAGCGGCCAGCACGATGGCGTGGATGGAGATGCCGACGGACAACGCAGCACCGATGACCAGCTCAACATTGATGACCAACCCGACACCGGTGACCACCCCAACATCAATGGCCAACCCAACACTAATGACCAACCCAACACCGATGGCCAACCCATCATCAATGACCAACCCAACACTAATGGCCAACCCAACACTGATGACCAACTCAATGTTGATGACCAACCCAACGCCGATGGCCAACCCACCATCAATGTCCAACCCAACGCCGATGACCAGCCCTTGGCCAGCCGTTGACTCGGTGCCAACGCTGGAGTCGCCGATGACCAACCCAACCCTGGGAGCTGCTCCCTCACCAGCGACCAGCCCGGGGCCGGAGGGGCCCATCCCGCTGCCGGACCCGATGCCCCCGGTGCTGACCGCCCACATCCCGCCGGACACCGACTTCGTGTGCCTGCAGGAGGTGTTCGATGCCGCCGCGGCCACCGCCCTGCGCCGGCAGCTGGGCCAGCGCTTCGCGCACGTGCTGTGGGGGGTGGGCCCGGGGGGGCTGCGCTGCGGCCGGCTGCGGGTGCTGGGCAGCGGGCTGCTCCTGGCCAGCCGCTTCCCGCTGCTGGCCGCGCGCTTCCAGCCCTTCCCCAACGCCGCCCGCGAGGACGCGCTGGCCAACAAGGGGCTGCTGGCGGCACAGGTGAGGGGACGCCTGAGGGGACACTTTGGGTGACACGTGGCTGAGGTGACGCATGGCTGGGGTGACACGTGGCTGAGGTGACACGTGGCTGAGGTGACGCATGGCTGGGGTGACACGTGCCTGGTGTCCCCCCCAGGTGCTGTTGGGGACGGGGCAAGGTGGCACAGGTGAGGGGACGCCTGAGGGGGCACCTGAGGGGGCACGGGGGTGACACGTGGCTGAGGTGACGCGTGGCTGAGGTGACACGTGGCTGAGGTGACACGTGCCTGGTGTCCCCCCCAGGTGCTGTTGGGGACGGGGCAAGGCCGACGCGTCGTGGGGTACCTGGGCTGCACCCACCTGCAGGCGCCCGCGGGTGAGTGGGGACACGGTGACGGCGTGGGGGGACACTGGGGGGCCTCAAGGTGTTGGGTCTGTGTCCAGGTGTCTGTGCCCACCTATGTCCATCTGCCCATGTGTGTGTCCACATGCCCATGGCTGCGACTCTGGGTCCCCCTGTGTCTGTGTCCCCATGTCCATGTATGTGTCCATATGTCCATGTTTCCAGATCCCCATGTTCCTGTATCCCTGTGTCCCCTGTCCCTGTGTCCCCATGACCCCATGTATCCATCCCTGTGTCTGTACATGTCTCCATGTCCATGTTCCCGTGTCACTGTCCCTGTGTCTGTACATGTCCCCATGTCTGTGTCTCTGTCCCCATGTCCATGTCCCTGTCCCCATGTCCCAGCCGATGCCACCATCCGTGACAAGCAGCTGTCCCTGGTGCTCCGGTGGCTCTGGGAGTTCCGGCAGGAGCAGGACCGGCCTGGGGACCTGGTGGCCTTCGATGTCCTCTGCGGGGACCTCAACTTCGACAACTGCTCCCGGGGTGGGGACAGGGGACACGGGGGGACAGGGCAGAGGGATGGGACATGAGGGGACACAGGAGGGGGACAGAGTGACACAGGGAGCAGAAGTGTGGGACATGAAGGGACACAAAGGGACAGGGGACAGAAGGACATGGGGAGCAGGGGGACATGGGGGACACCGGGGGACACGAGATGGGGACAGAGGGACACAGGGAGCAGAGGTGTGGGACACGAAGGGACACGGGAGGGGGACAGGGGACACAGGGGGACAGGGACAGGGATGGGGACAGGGGGGGTCATGGGTGGGGGACACGGGGAGAGGGGACATCGGGGGGACACAGAAGCACGGGGGGGACACGGGGGTGACAGCAGCGCCGCGTCCCCGGCAGGTGACATCCAGAACCGGAGGCACGCGCTGTTCAAGGAGTTCTGGGACCCCGCGCGCCGCGACTCGGGCCAGGACCAGCCCTGGGCCATCGGTGGGGACACCGCTGTCACCTCCCTCCCTGGGGACCCCAGTGGCACCGCTGCCCGGGGACCCCAGTGTTGCCCCTGCCTGGGGACCTCGCTGTCACCTCCTCGGGGATGTCACTTCCACCCCCCAGGGACCCCACTGTCACCTCCCCATGTCTGGGGTCCCCTCCTGTCCCCTCTGTGTCCGGGGTCCCCTCATGTCCCTGTCCCCTCCCCGTGTCCGGGGTCCCACTCATGTCCCCTCATGTCCCCTTCTGCCCCCTCCTGTCCCCTCATGTCCCCTCCTGTCCGGGGTCTCCTCATGTCCCTGTCCCCTCCTGTCTGGGGTCCCGCTCACTCCCTGTCGCCTCCTGTCCCTTCCCTGTCCGGGGTCCCCTCCTGTCCCCTGCTGTCCCCTCATGTCCCCTGCTGTCCCCTGCTGTCCCCTCATGTCTCTGTCCCCTGCTGTCCCCTCCCTGTCCGGGGTCCCCTCCTGTCCCCTCCTGTCCCCTCATGTCCCCTCCTGACCCCTCATGTCCCCTGCTGTCCCCTCCTGTCCCCTCATGTCTCCTGCTGTCCCCAGGGACGCTGCTCGATTACCTCAAGATCTACGAGGAGCCCGTGTCCACCCCTGAGAAGATGAGGAGGTGACAATGGGGACCCTGGGGACACCGGGGGGACACTGGGGACATGGTGGGGGGACACGAAGGGTCCAGCTGACCCACCAGCCTGGAGGGGTGGGGGGTCCTCCATCCCTGTGTCCCCGTGTCCCTGTGTCCCCATGTCCTGCTGTCTCCCCGTGTCCCTGTGTCCCCTGCCACTCTGTCCCACTGTGTGCCCGTGTCCCCCGTGTCCCCGTGTCACTCTGTCCCGATGTCCCCGTGTCCCCTGTCACTCTCTCCCACTCTGTGCCCATGTCCCCATGTCCCTATGTCCCTATGTCCCCAGGTCCCCGTGTCCCCATGTACCCATGTGACCCTGTCCCCATGTCCCCATGTCACTCTGTCCCCATGTCCCCATGTCCCTGTCCCACTCTGTCCCTGTGTCCCTGTGTCCCTGTTGCTGTGTCCCTATTTCCCATGTCCCCCTGTCCCCATGTCCACCTGTCCCCGTGTCCACATGTCCCCATGTGACCCTGTACCCATGTCCCCCTATCCCCATGTTCCCGTGTCCCTCTTACTGTTTCACTCTGTCCCCATGTCCCCATGTCTCCGTGTTCCTGTCACTCTGTCCCCATGTCCCCATGTGACCCTGTACCCATGTCCCCCTATCCCCATGTTCCCGTGTCCCTCTTACTGTGTCTCCCATCCCTGTCCCCGTGTCCCCATGTCCCCGTGTCCTCATGTTGTGTGTCGCTGTCCTCCAGGACGCTGTCCCCATCCCCATGTCCCTGTCCCTGTCCCCACGATGTCCCCGTGTCCCCAGGACGCTGTCCCTGCATCCCTGTCCCTGTCCCCACGATGTCCCCGTGTCCCCAGGACGCTGTCCGAGCCGTGGGGACGCGAGGTGACCCCCCTGTGACCCCTTAGTGACCCCCCAGACCCCAGTGACCCCTGTGAGCCCGCGCTGACCACCGTGACCCGAGTGACCCCTCAGTGACCCCTTAGTGACCCCCCGAGTGATCCCTTAGTGACCCCTGTGAGCCCGCGCTGCCGTGAGCAACCACTCAGTGACCCCCCAGTGACCGCTGGGACCCCTCAGTGACCCCCTGAGTGACCCCCCTGTGACCCTCCCAAGTGACCCCTTAGTGACCCCTGTGAGCCCGCGCTGCCCACCGTGAGTGACCACTCAGTGACCCCTGGGACCCCCCAGTGACCTCCCGAGTGACCCCCTGAATGACCCCTTAGTGACCCCCCAGTGACCTCCCGAGTGACCCCCTGAATGACCCCTTAGTGACCCCCCAGTGACCCCTGGGACCCCTCACTGACCACTGTGAGCCCAGGGAGCCCTCAGTGACCCCTCGGACCCCACTGACCCCAGTGACCCCTGTGACCCTGTGCTGGCCACCATGAGTGACCACTGGGACCCCCAGTGACCCCTCAGTGACACCCCCAGTGACCCCTGTGCTGGCCACTGAGAGTGACCACTGGGAACCCCTGATGGCCACCATGAGCGACCAATAGGACCCCTATGACCCCTGGGACCCCTATGACCCCTGTGTCCTCAGTGACCCCTGTGTCCTCAGTGACCCCTGGTGTCCCTGTGACCCCTGTGACCCCAGTGACCCCCAGTGTCCCCACAGGAGGTGACCGGGTTCTCGGTCATCACCGAGCTGGCCACGCTGTCTGACCACCTGCCCCTGGCCCTGCGGCTGCGCCTGGGGCCCGCTGACCTCTGACCCCGCACGGACACTGCGCTGGACACCGGGATGGACACCGGGATGGACACCGGGATGGACACTGGGATGGACACCGCGCTGGACACCGCGCTGGACACCGGGATGGACACCAGGGTGGACACCGGGATGGACACCAGGATGGACATAACTCTGGCCATAGCGCTGGACACAAGGCTCGACACAGCTCTGGACACAGTGCTGGACATGGCTCTGGCCACAGCCCTGGACACAGCTCTGGACACAGCACTGGACACAGCACCGGTCACTGTTCGGACCTCAGGGTGACCCCAGAGTGACCCCAGAGTGACCATGGCTCTGGCCACAGCCTTGGACACAGCTCTGGACACAGTGCTGGACATGGCTCTGGCCACAGCCCTGGTCACAGTGGTGACCTTGGTGTGACCCCAGCCCTGGACACAGCACCGGTCACTGCTCTGGACACAGCCCTAGACACAGCACCGGTCACTGCTCCGGACACAGGACTGGTCACTGCTCTGACCTCAGCATGACCCCAGTGTGACCAGGGCTCCGGACACAGCCCTGGACACAGCACCGGTCACTGTTCGGACCTCAGGGTGACCCCAGAGTGACCCCAGTGTGACCATGGCTCTGGACACAGCACTGGACACAGCACTGGTCACTGCTCTGACCCCGGCATGACCCCAGTGTGGCCATGGCTCCAGCCACAGCTTCGGACACAGCACCGGTCACTGCTCTGACCCTGGCATGACCCCAGTGTGACCACAGCTTCGGACACAGCCCTGGACACAGCACTGGTCACTGTTCCAAACCTGGGGTCATCCCAGTGTGGCCACGGCTCCGGACACAGCACTGGTCACAGTGGTGACCTTGGCGTGACCCCAGCCCTGGACACAGCACCGGTCACTGTTCGGACCCCAGGGTGACCCCAGAGTGACCCCAGTGTGACCATGGCTCTGGACACAGCACTGGACACAGCACTGGTCACTGCTCTGACCCCAGTGTGACCATGGCTCCAGACACAGCCCTGGACACAGTGCTGGACATGGCTCTGGCCACAGCCCTGGTCACAGTGGTGACCTTGGTGTGACCCCAGCCCTGGACACAGCACCGGTCACTGCTCTGACCTCAGCATGACCCCAGTGTGACCAGGGCTACGGACACAGCACTGGGCACAGCACCGGTCACTGCTCGGACCCCAGGGTGACCCCAGAGTGACCCCAGTGTGATCATGGCTCTGGCCACAGCCTTGGACACAGGACTGGTCACTGCTCCGGACACAGTGGTGACCTTGGGGTGACCACAGCCCTGGACACAGCACCGGTCACTGCTCTGGACACAGCACTGGTCACTGCTCTGACCCCAGTGTGACCATGGCTCCAGACACAGCCCTGGACTCAGTGCTGGACATGGCTCTGGCCACAGCCCTGGTCACAGGGGTGACCTTGGTGTGACCCCAGCCCTGGACACAGCACCGGTCACTGCTCTGACCTCAGCATGACCCCAGTGTGACCAGGGCTACGGACACAGCACTGGGCACAGCACCGGTCACTGCTCGGACCCCAGGGTGACCCCAGAGTGACCCCAGTGTGATCATGGCTCTGGCCACAGCCTTGGACACAGGACTGGTCACTGCTCCGGACACAGTGGTGACCTTGGTGTGACCACAGCCCTGGACACAGCACCGGTCACTGCTCTGACCCCAGGGTGACCCCAGTGTGACCACAGCTTCGGACAGAGCCCTGGACACAGCACTGGTCATTGCTGGGACCTCAGGGTGACCCCGGCATGACCCCAGTGTGGCCATGGCTCCAGCCACAGCTCCGGACACAGCAGTGGTCACTGCTCTGACCCCAGTGTGACCACGGCTCCGGACACAGCCCTGGACACAGCACTGGACACAGCACTGGTCACTGCTCTGACCCCAGGGTGACCCCAGTGCGACCACAGCTTCAGACAGAGCCCTGGACACTGCACTGGTCACTGCTCTGACCCCAGTGTGACCACGGCTCCGGACACAGCCCTGGACACAGCCCTGGACACAGCTCCGGTCACTGCTCTGACCCCTGAGTGACCCCAGTGTGACCATGGCTCCGGACACAGCACTGGACACAGCACTGGTCACTGCTCTGACCCCAGTGTGACCATGGCTCCAGACACAGAACCACAGCTTCAGACAGAGCCCTGGACACAGGAGTGGTCATTGCTCTGACCCCAGGGTGACCCCAGTGTGACCAGGGCTCCGGACACAGCCCTGGACACAGCAGTGGTCATTGCTGGGACCTCAGGGTGACCCCGGCATGACCCCAGTGTGGCCATGGCTCCAGCCACAGCTCCGGACACAGCAGTGGTCACTGCTCTGACCCCAGTGTGACCACGGCTCCGGACACAGCCCTGGACACAGCACTGGACACAGCACTGGTCACTGCTCTGACCCCAGGGTGACCCCAGTGCGACCACAGCTTCAGACAGAGCCCTGGACACTGCACTGGTCACTGCTGTGACCCCAGGGTCACCCCAGTGTGGCCATGGCTCCGGCCACAGCCCTGGACACAGCACTGGTCACTGCTCCGGACACAGTGGTGACCTTGGTGTGACCACAGCCCTGGACACAGCACCGGTCACTGCTCTGACCCCAGGGTCACCCCAGTGTGGCCATGGCTCCGGCCACAGCCCTGGACACAGCACTGGTCACTGCTCCGGACACAGTGGTGACCTTGGTGTGACCACAGCCCTGGACACAGCACCGGACACTGCTCTGACCTCAGGGTGACCCCAGTGTGGCCATGGCTCTGGACACAGCACCGGTCATTGCTCTGGACACTGCAGTGGTCACTGCTCTGACCCTGGGGTGACCCCAGTGTGACCTATTGAACGGGTATTGGTGCAGTATTGATCCCGTATTGATCCAGTGTTGGGGCAGGATGGATCTGGTATTGGTTCAGTATTGATCCAGGATTGGTGCGGTATTGATCCACTACTGATCTGGTATTAGGGCAGGATTGGAGCAGTATTGATCCTGTATTGCTGCAGGCTTGATCTTGTATTGGTGCAGTATTGATCCAGTATTTGTCCAGCATTGATCCGGTATCGGGGCAGGTTCGGTGCAGTGTTGATCCGGTATTGGTGCAGTATTGATCCGGTATTGGGGCAGGATTGATCCAGTATTGATCCGCTATTGGGGCAGGTTCGGTGCAGTGTTGATCCGGTATTGGTGCAGTATTGATCCGGTATTGGGGCAGGATTGATTCTGTATTGATCCGGTATTGGGGCAGGATTGGTGCAGAATTGATCCATTGCCAGTCCAGCTCCAAACCAGTATTGATCTGATATCGGCGAGGCATTGATCCAGCATCAATCCAGCACTGATCCCGTATTGATCCAGCTTTATTCCAGCTCCAGTTTGCTATTGATCTGGCAGCCCAAGACCAGCATTGATCCAGCATTGATTGGCATCGGTCTGGCATTGATGCAGCATTGATCCGGCACCAATCCAGAATTGGCTCAGTATTGATCTGGCATTGATCCGACATTGATCTGGCATTGGCTCAGTATTGATCCGGCACCGATCCAGCATTGTCTCAGTATTGATCCGACATTGATCTGGCATTGTCTCAGTATTGATCCGGCACTGATCTGGCATTGTCTCAGTATTGATCCGGCATTGATCCGGCACTGATCCAGCATTATCTCAGTATTGATCCGGCACTGATCTGGCATTAGCTCAGTATTGATCTGCCATTGCCTCAGTATCAATCCAGCATTAAAGCAGCATTGATCCAGCCCTGGCACTGTATCAATCCGTTATTGGTTCAGTATCAATCCAGCACTGATCCATCGTCAGTCCGGCATTAGCTCAGTATTGATCCGACACTGACTCAGTATTGATCCCGTATCAGTCCAGCATCGGTCCAGTATCAATCCTGTATTGGGCTGGTATTGATCCATTGTCAGTCCAGCACTAATCCATAATTGATCTGGTATTGATCCAGCATTGATCTGGCATTGATCCGGCATCAAACCAGTGTTGATCTGGCATTAGCTCAGCATTGATCTGGCATTGATCCAGCATCAAACCAGCATTGATCTGGCATTGATCCAGTATCAGTCTGGTATTGATCCACCATCGATCCAGCACTGACCCATCAGTCTGGAATTGATCCATTGTCGATCTGGTATTGATCCAGCATTGATCTGCCATTAATCCAGCATTAATAGAGCATTGATCCGGCATTGACCTGCTATTGATCCAGCATTGATCCAGTATTGATCCAGCACTGACCCATCAGTCTGGAATTGATCCATTGTCGATCTGGTATTGATCCAGTATTGATCCAGTACTGATCCAGTATTGATCCAGCACTGAACTGCTATTGACATGCTATTGATCCCACATTGATCTGCTATTGATCCAGCATTGATCCAGTATTGATCCAGCACTGAACTTCTATTGACATGCTATTGATCCCACATTGATCTGCTATTGATCCAGCATTGATCTGCCATTAATCCAGCATTAATAGAGCATTGATCTGCTATTGATCCAGCATTAATCCAGTATTGATCCGGCATTAACAGAGCATTGATCCAGCGTTGATCCAGCATTGATCTGGTATTGATCCAGTATTGATCCAGCTTTGATCCAGTATTGATCCAGCATTGATCTGCTATTGATCCAGCATTAATCCAGTATTGATCCGGCATTAATAGAGCATTGATCCAGCATTGATCTGGTATTGATCCAGCATTGATCCAGTATTGATCCAGCATTGATCTGCTATTGATCCAGCATTGATCCGGCCTCCATCCAGTATTGATCCAGCCTGTGGCACAAAGATGTGCTAAAATGTTTTAATGGAGCTGACATTCCTCCTGGGAATCACTCCAGATTTTTGATCCAGTATTGATCCAGCATTGATCTGCTATTGATCCAGCATTGATCCGGCCTCCATCCAGTATTGATCCAGCCTGTGGCACACGGGGTCCCCCCCCAAACCCCAGAGTTTGGGGTCAGTGCCCCCCCCCGATGTGTGGGGCAGAGCCCTGGGGGGCTCCGTGGGGTTGGGGGGGTCCCTGTGCTCCCCAAGACACCAGGCAGGAGTTGGGGGGCACAAGAAGCTTTATTGGAGGTGGGGGGGGAATGGGCCCCCCTGGAGGGCTGAGCTGGGGAAGGGGGGCTGCCCTATAGGCTGTATCTGCCCCATAGAAGGGTTTGGGGCTGCCCTATAGCAGGGTCGGGGGCTGCCCTATAGCAGGGATGGGGGCTGCCCTATAGGCTGTGCATTGGGGGGGGCTGCCCCATAGCAGGGATGGGGGCTGCCCCATAGATTGGGCATCGGGGGGCTGCCCGCCAAACCCCAGAGTTTGGGGTCAGTGCCCCCCCCCGATGTGTGGGGCAGAGCCCTGGGGGGCTCCGTGGGGCTGGGGGGGTACCTGTCCCCCCCAAGACACCAGGCAGGAGTTGGGGGGCACAAGAAGCTTTATTGGAGGTGGGGGGGGAATGGGCCCCCCTGGAGGGCTGAGCTGGGGAAGGGGGGCTGCCCTATAGGCTGTATCTGCCCCATAGAAGGGTTTGGGGCTGCCCTATAGCAGGGTCGGGGGCTGCCCTATAGCAGGGATGGGGGCTGCCCTATAGGCTGTGCATTGGGGGGGGCTGCCCCATAGCAGGGATGGGGGCTGCCCCATAGATTGTGCATCGGGGGGCTGCCCCATAGCAGGGATGGGGGCTGCCCTATAGCAGGGTGGGGGGCTGCCCTATAGAGGGGGTCGGGGGCTGCCCTATAGGCTGCATCTAGAGGAGGGGCTGCCCCATAGCAGGGTCAGGGGCTGCCCTATAGCAAGGTTTGGGACTGCCCTATAGATTGTGCATCCGGGGTGCTGCCCCATAGCAGGGATGGGGGCTGCCCCATGGCAGGGTGGGGTGCTGCCCTACAGAAGGGTTGGGGGGCTGCCCTATAGAGGGGTTGGGGGGCTGCCCTGTAGCAGGGATGGGAGCTGCCCTATAGGCTGTATCTAAAGGAGGGGCTGCCTCACAGCAGGGTTTGGGGCTGCCCTATAGAGGGTTTGGGGCTGCCCCAGGGGGGTGCATAGCTGGAGTTGGGGGCTGCCCCATAGCTGGAGTGGGTGAGGGGCTGCCCTATGGACTGTGCGTATCGAGGGGGGGCTGCCCCATAGCAGGGTTTGGCAGGGGCTGCCCTATAGGCTGTGCGTATCTAGCAATGGGGTGCTGCCCCATAGCAGGGTCAGGGGCTGCCCCACAGCAGGGATGGGGGCTGCCCTATTGGCTGTGCCTATCTAGCAATGGGGGGCTGCCCTATAGCAGGGTTTGGCAGGGTTGGGGGGCTGCCCCATAGGCTGTGCATAGCTGGAGTGGGGCTCCCCATAGCAGGTCGGGGGCTGCCCCATAGTGGAGTTAGGGGGTGCCCTATAGATTGTGCGTATCTAGGGGGGGCTGCCCCATAGCAGGGGGCTGTGCCGGTGGGGGTGCATAGCTGGAGTGGGTGGGGCTGCCCCATAGCAGGGTCAGAGACTGCCCCATAGTGGAGTTAGGGGGTGCCCTATAGATTGTGCGTATCTAGGGGGGGCTGCCCCATAGCACGGTCAGAGACTGCCCCATAGCAGGGTTTGGGGCTGCCCCATTGCAGGTGCATAGATGGGATGGGGGGCTGCCCCACAGAGAGCTCAGGGACTGCCCCATGGACTGTGCGTATCTAGGGGGGACTGCCCCATAGCAGAGATGGGAGCTGCCCCATAGCAGGGTGGGGGGCTGCCCTATAGACGGGGTGCATAGCTGGAGTGGGTGGGGGGCTGCCCCACGGTGGAGTTAGGGGGCTGCCCTATGGACTGTGCGTATCGAGGGGGGGCTGCCCCATAGCAGGGTTTGGGGCTGCCCCACAGTGGAGTTAAGGGGCTGCCCTATGGACTGTGTGTATCGAGCAATGGGGGGCTGCCCTATAGGCTGTGCATAGCTGGAGTGGGGCTGCCCCATAGCAGGGTCGGGGGCTGCCCCACAGTGGAGTTAGGGGGTGCCCTATAGACTGTGTGTATCGAGGGGGGGCTGCCCCATAGCAGGGTTTGGCAGGGGCTGCCCCATAGCAGGGTCAGGGGCCGCGCCATAGTGGAGTTTGACAGGGGCTGCCCTATAGAGGGGTTGGGGGGCTGCCCTATAGACTGTGCGTATCTAGGGGGGGCTGCCCCATAGCAGGGTGGGGGGCTGCCCCATAGGCGGTGCATAGCTGCAGTGGGGCTGCCCCATAGCAGGGCCAGAGACTGCCCCATAGCAGGTGCATAGATGGGCTGGGGGCTGCCCCACAGTGGAGGTAGGGGGCTGCCCCATGGACTGTGCGTGTCTAGGGGGGCTGCCCCATAGCAGAGTTTGGCAGGGGCTGCCCCATAGCAGGGTTAGGGGGCTGCTCCACAGTGGTTTAGGGCTGCCCCATAGTGGATTTTGGGGCTGCCCCACAGCGGTTTGGGGTCACACAGGGGTTTGGGGTCACACGGCGGGTTTGGGGCTGCCCTATGGTGGATTTTGGGGCTGCCCCACAGCGGTTTGGGGTCACACAGGGGTTTGGGGTCACACGGCGGGTTTGGGGCTGCCCTATGGTGGATTTTGGGGCTGCCCCACAGCGGTTTCAGGGGCTGCCCCATAGCGGGGTTAGGGGGCTGCTCCACAGTGGCTTAGGGCTGCCCCATAGTGGATTTTGGGGCTGCCCCACAGCGGTTTGGGGTCACACAGTGGTTTGGGGCTGCCCCACAGCGGTTTGGGGTCACACAGAGGGTTTGGAGCTGCCCCATAGCGGGTTTTGGGGTCACACAGCGGTTTGGGGCTGCCCCATAGCGGGTTTAGGGCTGCCCCACAGCGGTTTGGGGTCACACAGAGGGTTTGGAGCTGCCCCATAGCGGGTTTTGGGGTCACACAGCGGTTTGGAGCTGCCCCATAGCGGGTTTTGGGGTCACACAGGGGTTTGGGGTCACACGGCGGGTTTGGGGCTGCCCTATGGTGGATTTTGGGGCTGCCCCACAGCGGTTTGGGGTCACACAGTGGTTTGGGGCTGCCCCACAGCGGTTTGGGGTCACACAGCGGGTTTGGGGTCACACAGCGGGTTTGGGGTCACACAGCGGTTTGGGGCTGCCCCATAGCGGGTTTAGGGCTGCCCCACAGCGGTTTGGGGTCACACAGCGGGTTTGGGGTCACACAGCGGTTTGGGGCTGCCCCATAGCGGGTTTAGGGCTGCCCCACGGCAGTTTGGGGTCACACGGCCTCCTGCGCCTGCCGGAACTCGAAGACGCTGCCACGCTCCAGGAAGGTGTGTGGGGCCGGGGGTCCCGGGGGTCCCGGGGGTCCCGGGGGTCCCGGGGGGCTCTGGGGGGCCCAGAGGTCCTGGGGGTCCGGGGGGTCCTGGGGGGCGCCCCCAGTGCCCTCCTCGGGGGGGCCGAAGCCGCCCCCGCCCGGGGTCAGCATGAGGAAAACGTCCTGGGGAGAGAGGGGCCGGGTCAGGGGTCGGGGGGAGTTTGGGGTAGTTAAAATCTGGTGGGTTAATTGTCTTAACTGTTCCTCACAGGGATCAATCTCTCTTGCTGTAAGTGTGACAACAGTTATGGCTTTAAATTTTAAATTCAAGGAAGTGTCTCATGATATTTTTGGGGATTTTGAGGGGTTTTTTGGGTCCTTCACCGGCCATGCCGTAGGGCCGCGTGGCTCAGGGGTTATGGGTATTTCTGGGGATATTTTTGGGGATATTTTGGGGTTTTTTTGGTGTCCCTCACCAGCCATGCTGTAGGGCCGCGTGGCTCATAGTTTTAGGGGGTATTTTTGGGGTGTTTTAGCGGATTTTTGGGGTCTCTCACCAGCCATTCCGTAGGGCCGCGTGGCTCAGGGGTTATGGGGTATTTTGGGGGATATTTTGGGGATATTTTGGGGATATTTTGGGGGGTCCCTCACCCGCCATGCCGTAGGGCCGCGTGGCGCGGCGCTCGCTCAGCACCGAGAGCTCGCTGCGGGCCCGGAACTGCAGCTCCCGGACCACCCCGTCCCCCCCCCGGTGCCGCCCCGCGCCCCCCGAGCCCGCCCGCAGCTCGAAGCGCCGCAGCAGCACCGGGTACCTGGGGGGGGAAACGGGGGTCAGGGACCCCAAAAATATCCCTGAGAACCCCAAAAATACCCCTGAGAGACCCCCCCCAAACCTCCCAAACCCTCACAGCAGCACCGGGTACCTGGGGGGGGGAAACGGGGGGTCAGGGACCCCAAAATACCCCTGAGAGACCCCAAAATACCCCTGAGAGACCCCCAAACCCCCCACAGCAGCACCGGGTACCTGGGGAGGGAAACGGGGGGTCAGGGACCCCAAAAATACCCCCAAACCTGCCCCGACCCCCCCACAGCAGCACCGGGTACTGGGGAGGGGGGGAACGGGCCCCAAACAGCACAAACCAACCCCAAACACCCCAAAAGTGACCCCAAATCCCAAACCCGACCCCAACCCCAGACGCGCTGTCCGCGCAGCCCTGGGGTGGGGCAGGACCCCAAACGGGAACCCCAAAACTTTGGGATCCCCAAATGCGGACAGCCCAAAGCCCAGGAGCCCCAAACCCCACCTGTGACACGTACCTGTCCCACCTGTCCCACCTGTCCCTGTCCCTCACCTGTGACACGTACCTGTCCCACCTGTCCCACCTGTCCCCACCTGTGACACGTACCTGTCCCTCACCTGTCCCACCTGTCCCTGTCCCTCACCTGTCTGTGTCCCCTCACCTGTCCCTGTCCCCCCCTGTCCCTGCTCACCTGTCATGTCACCTGTCCCTGTCCCCACCTGTCCCTCACCTGTCCCCACCTGTCCGTGTCCCTGCTCACCTGTCCCTGTCCGTGTTCCTGTCCCTGCTCACCTGTCCCCACCTGTCACCTGTCCCCTGTTCCTTTCCCCACCTGTCATCTCACCTGTCTCTCCTCACCTGTCCCCGTCCCTCACTCGTCATCTCACCTGTCCCCTGTCCGCACCTGTCTCCCCTCACCTGTCCCCACCTGTCTCCTCCACCCCCTCACCTGTCCCTGTCCGTGTCGCTCACCTGTCGCTGTCCCCTCCCCTCACCTGTGTCCGTGTCCCCTCACCTGTCCCTGTCCCCACCTGTCCCTGTCCCTGCTCACCTGTCCCACCCCTGTCCCCACCTGTCACGTGTCCCCGTTCCTGTCCCTGCTCACCTGTCTCCCCCCACCTGTTCCCACCTGTCCCTGCCTGTCACCTGTTCCCCCATTCCCTCACCTGTCGCTGTCCCCACCTGTCCCCTCCTGTCATCTCACCTGTCACCTGTCCCCTCCCCTCACCTGTCCCTGCTCACCTGTCACCTGTCCCTGTCCCTCACCTGCCATCTCACCTGTCTCCCCACCCCTGTCCCCACCTGTCCCTCACCTGTCGCTGTCCCCTCACCTGTCCCTCACCTGTCTCCCCTCACCTGTCCGTGTCCCCTCCCCTCACCTGTCCGTGCCGCTCACCTGGGAGGCGGCGCATGCGCCGAACGCGCGCAGCACCACGTCCACCACGCGCTGTGACGTCAGCACGTTCCCGCCCACCACGGCGGCGTCGGGGGAGGGGTCCAGGATGGAGCCGGGGGGGATCCGCACCTGGACGGGGGCCAGGCAGCCCTGGGGGGTAAAACACACCTGGGCGCACCTGGGACACACCTGGGTACACCTGGGGACACACCTGAGATATACCTGTGATACACCTGGGATATACCTGTGATACACCTGGACGGGGGCCAGGCAGCCCTGGGGGGGGAACACACCTGGGCACACCTGGGACACACCTGGGCACACCTGGGACACACCTGAGATACCTGAGATACACCTGGGCACACCTGGATACACCTGGGATACACCTGAGATACCTGAGATACACCTGGATACACCTGGACCGGGGCCAGGCAGCCCTGGGGGGTAAAATACACCTGGGCACACCTGGGCACAGCTGAGATATACCTGTGATACACCTGGGATACCTGAGATACACCTGAGCACAGCTGGGACACACCTGGATACACCTGGGCACAGCTGGGACACACCTGGATACACCTGGGCACAGCTGAGATATACCTGGGACACACCTGGCACAGCTGAGATATACCTGGGACACACCTGGGCACACCTGAGATATACCTGTGATAGACCTGGACCGGGGCCAGGCAGCCCTGGGGGGTAAAATACACCTGGGCACACCTGGGCACACCTGGATACACCTGAGATACACCTGGGATATACCTGAGATACCTGAGATACACCTGGGCACACCTGGGCACACCTGAGATATACCTGTGATAGACCTGGACCGGGGCCAGGCAGCCCTGGGGGGTAAAATACACCTGGGCACACCTGGGCACACCTGGATACACCTGAGATACACCTGGGATATACCTGAGATACCTGAGATACACCTGGGCACACCTGGGCACACCTGAGATATACCTGTGATAGACCTGGACCGGGGCCAGGCAGCCCTGGGGGGTAAAATACACCTGGGCACACCTGGGCACACCTGGATACACCTGGGACACACCTGAGATACCTGAGATACACCTGGATACACCTGGACCGGGGCCAGGCAGCCCTGGGGGGTAAAATACACCTGGGCACACCTGGGCACAGCTGAGATATACCTGTGATACACCTGGGATACCTGAGATACACCTGAGCACAGCTGGGACACACCTGGATACACCTGGGCACAGCTGGGACACACCTGGATACACCTGGGCACAGCTGGGACACACCTGGATACACCTGGGCACAGCTGAGATATACCTGGGACACACCTGGGCACACCTGAGATATACCTGTGATAGACCTGGACCGGGGCCAGGCAGCCCTGGGGGGTAAAATACACCTGGGCACACCTGGGCACACCTGGATACACCTGAGATACACCTGGGATATACCTGAGATACCTGAGATACACCTGGGCACACCTGGGCACACCTGAGATATACCTGTGATAGACCTGGACCGGGGCCAGGCAGCCCTGGGGGGTAAAATACACCTGGGCACACCTGGGCACACCTGGATACACCTGGGACACACCTGAGATACCTGAGATACACCTGGACGGGGGCCAGGCAGCCCTGGGGGGTAAAATACACCTGGGCACACCTGGGCACAGCTGAGATATACCTGTGATACACCTGGGATACCTGAGATACACCTGAGCACAGCTGGGACACACCTGGATACACCTGGGCACAGCTGGGACACACCTGGATACACCTGGGCACAGCTGGGACACACCTGGATACACCTGGGCACAGCTGAGATATACCTGGGACACACCTGGGCACACCTGAGATATACCTGTGATAGACCTGGACCGGGGCCAGGCAGCCCTGGGGGGTAAAATACACCTGGGCACACCTGGGCACACCTGGATACACCTGAGATACACCTGGGATATACCTGAGATACCTGAGATACACCTGGGCACACCTGGGCACACCTGAGATATACCTGTGATAGACCTGGACCGGGGCCAGGCAGCCCTGGGGGGTAAAATACACCTGGGCACACCTGGGCACACCTGGATACACCTGGGACACACCTGAGATACCTGAGATACACCTGGACGGGGGCCAGGCAGCCCTGGGGGGTAAAATACACCTGGGCACACCTGGGCACAGCTGAGATATACCTGTGATACACCTGGGATACCTGAGATACACCTGAGCACAGCTGGGACACACCTGGATACACCTGGGCACAGCTGGGACACACCTGGATACACCTGGGCACAGCTGGGACACACCTGGATACACCTGGGCACAGCTGAGATATACCTGGGACACACCTGGGCACACCTGAGATATACCTGTGATAGACCTGGACCGGGGCCAGGCAGCCCTGGGGGGTAAAATACACCTGGGCACACCTGGGCACACCTGAGATATACCTGTGATAGACCTGAACCGGGGCCAGGCAGCCCTGGAGGGGGGAACACACCTGGATACACCTGGGCACACCTGAGATACACCTGGGACACACCTGGGACACACCTGGATACACCTGGGCACACCTGGGCACAGCTGGACACACCTGACACCCCCCGAGGTGCCCAGGGCGGGGGTGTCAGAGGGATTTGGGGCCTCACCTGTTTGGGGTGTTTGGGGTCTCACCTGGCTCAGGTGTATTCGGGATATTTTGGGGTGTCTTTGGGGTTTTGGGTGTGTTTGGGGTTTTTGGGGCGTGTTTGGGGTTTTGGGGTCTTTGGGGTTTTTGGGGCGTGTTTCAGGGCAGTTTTGGGATTTCACCTGGCTCAGGTGTATTTGGGATATTTTGGGGTGTCTTTGGGGTTTTGGGTGTGTTTGGGGTTTTTGGGGCGTGTTTCAGGGCAGTTTTGGGGTCTCACCTGGCTCAGGTGTGTTTGGGATATTTTGGGGTGTGTTTGGGGGTTTTTTGTATGTTTGGGGTCTCACCTGGCTCAGGTGTGTTTGGGGGTTTTGGGGTGTGTTTGGGATGTTTTGGGGTTTTCGGGGTGCTCAGGGTGGGTTTCAGGGCAGTTTTGGGGTCTCACCTGGTTCAGGGGGTGTTTGGGGTTTTCGGGGTGTGTTTGGGATGTTTTGGGGTTTTCGGGGTGCTCAGGGTGGGTTTCAGGGCAGTTTTGGGGTCTCACCTGGTTCAGGGGGTGTTTGGGGTTTTCGGGGTGTGTTTGGGATGTTTTGGGGTTTTTGGGGTGCTCAGGGTGGGTTTTAGGGCGGTTTTGGGGTCTCACCTGGCTCAGGGGGATGTCGAGGTGCGTTTGGGGTGTATTTAGGGTATTTAGGGTTTTTGGGGTGCTCAGGCTGTTTTTGGGGGTTTTGGGGTGTATTTGGGGTTTTTGGAGTGTATTTGGGGGTTTTTGGGGTGTATTTGGGGTCTCACCTGGTTGAGGGGGATGTCGTGCCCCACCAGGCAGCGCAGGCAGTAGATCAGGGCTGACAGGGGTGTATTTAGGGTGTTTTTGGGGTCTCACCTGGTTGAGGGGGATGTCGTGCCCCACCAGGCAGCGCAGGCAGTAGATCAGGGCCGACAGGGTGATGGCGCGGGGGGCGTTGCAGTTCCCCAGAACTTGGGGTCCCGTCCCCCCGAAATCGAACACGGCGCTGCCCTGGGGGGGAGGGGGGACGCTGTACCCCAAAACCAGCCCGGAGACATCGGGGACCCCAAAACCCACCCGGAGACTGGAGGGGTGACCCCAAAACCTGGGGGGGACCCCAAAACTCACCCAGAGACCGGAGGGGGACCCCAAAACCTGGAGGGGACCCCAAAGAGACCGGGGGCACCCCAAAACCCATCCTGACCCCAAACCCGGGGTGACCCCAAACCCGAGGCTCCCCATTTCCCCCGACCCCGTGGGGGTCCCGCCGGATCGGGGTCCCCAAACCCTGGGGACATCCCCGTGTCCCCCAAACCCCAGGGGTGTCCCCGAGGTGTCCCTGTGCTGTCCCCAAGGTGTCCCTGTGGTGTCTCCATGCTGTCCCCATGTCCCCACAGTGTCCCCAAAGTGTCTCTGTGCTGTCCCCATGTCCCCACGGTGTCCCCACGGTGTCCCCATGGTGTTCCATGTCTCCGCGGTGTCCCTGCTGTGTCCCTGTGCTGTCCTTATGTTGCCACGCTGTCCCCGTACTGTCCCCGTGGTGTCCCCATGCTGTCCCCATGTCCCCACACTGTCCCCGTGTCCCTACAGTGTCCCCACGCTGTCCCCGAGGTGTCCCCGCATTGTCCCCAAGCTGTCCCTGCCCCGTCCCCAGACTGTCCCCGCTCTGTCCCCTCCCTGTCCCCTCTCTCTCCCCTCTCTGTCCCCTCTCTCTCCCCTCTCTGTCACCGCTCTCTCCCCTCTCTGTCCCCTCCTGTCCCCTGTCCCCGGTCCCCACCTCCCGTGGCCGCAGTGCCACCCGCAGCCGGATCGGGGTCCCGTCGTCCATCGTGTCCTCGGCCGCCAGCGCCGTCCCCCAGCGCGCGGCCACCGCCCGCAGCGTGTCCCGCACCGCCACCTCGGCGTTGGCCTGGGGTCACACAGGGGTCACAGGGGTCACACAGGGGTCAGGGGTCACACAGAGTCACACAGAGGTCACACAGGGGTCACACAGTGATTTTGGGGGATTTTGGGGTTCCTGGGGCAGTTTTGGGGTGTATTTGCAGCATTTGGGGCATATTTGGGGTTTTTGGGGTGCATTTGGTGTGTTTGGTGGCTTGGATGTTTTGGGGGATTTGGGGATTTTGGGGCATGTTTGGGGTATTTGATGTTTTTGGGGTCTGTTTGGGGTTTTTGGGGTTTTGGGGTGTATTTGGAGTTTGTTTGGGGTTTTTGGGGTCTCACCTGGACGTGCCCCATGTAGGCCTGCACGGTGGCCAGCCCGTGCTCCCCGATCAGCTCAGGCACAGGGGTTGGGGTGTGTTTGGGGTGTATTTGGGGTTTTTGGGGTTTTGGGGTGTATTTAGGGTATTTAGGGTGTGTTTGGGGTCTCACCTGGACGTGCCCCATGTAGGCCTGCACGGTGGCCAGCCCGTGCTCCCCGATCAGCTCAGGCACAGGGGCTGGGGTGTGTTTGGGGTGTATTTGGGGTTTTTGGGGTTTTGGGGTGTATTTAGGGTTTTTGGGGTGTGTTTGGGGTCTCACCTGGATGTGCCCAATGTAGGCCTGCACAGTGGCCAGCCCGTGCTCCCCGATCAGCCCCGGGCACAGGGGTTGGGCTGTGTTTGGGGTTTTGGCGGTATTTGGGGTTTTTGGGGTTTTGGGGTGTATTTAGGGTTTTTGGGGTGTGTTTGGGGTTTTTGGGGTTTTTGCGGTATTTGATGTTTTTGGGGTTTTGGGGTATATTTAGGGTATTTAGGGTGTGTTTGGGGTCTCACCTGGACGTGCCCCATGTAGGCCTGCACGGTGGCCAGCCCGTGCTCCCCGATCAGCTCCCGCACCAGCCCGATCCCTTTCTGGTTGGCTGCCACCTGTGCCCGCAGGTCGGCCAGGTTGTCCCGCAGGTTCCGCGAGCCCGAGCAGCCGGGGACGGCCCCGGGGGCCAGCAGGGCCTCGGGGACAGCTGGGGACAGAGGGGCCAGGGACGGTGACACCCCCTGGGGACAGTGCCAGGGACGGCCCCGGGGGCCAGCAGGCCCTCGGTGACAGCTGGGGACAGAGGGGCCAGGGACGGTGACACCCCCTGGGGACAGTGCCAGGGACGGCCCCGGGGGCCAGCAGGCCCTCGGTGACAGCTGGGGACAGAGGGGCCAGGGACGGTGACACCCCCTGGGGACAGTGCCAGGGACGGCCCCGGGGGCCAGCAGGCCCTCGGTGACAGCTGGGGACAGAGGGGCCAGGGACGGTGACACCCCCTGGGGACAGTGCCAGGGACGGCCCCGGGGGCCAGCAGGCCCTCGGTGACAGCTGGGGACAGAGGGGCCAGGGACGGTGACACCCCCTGGGGACAGTGCCAGGGACGGCCCCGGGGGCCAGCAGGCCCTCGGTGACAGCTGGGGACAGAGGGGCCAGGGACGGTGACACCCCCTGGGGACAGTGCCAGGGACGGCCCCGGGGGCCAGCAGGCCCTCGGTGACAGCTGGGGACAGAGGGGCCAGGGACGGTGACACCCCCTGGGGACAGTGCCAGGGACGGCCCCGGGGGCCAGCAGGCCCTCGGTGACAGCTGGGGACAGAGGGGCCAGGGACGGTGACACCCCCTGGGGACAGTGCCAGGGACGGCCCCGGGGGCCAGCAGGCCCTCGGTGACAGCTGGGGACAGAGGGGCCAGGGACGGTGACACCCCCTGGGGACAGTGCCAGGGACGGCCCCGGGGGCCAGCAGGCCCTCGGTGACAGCTGGGGACAGAGGGGCCAGGGACGGTGACACCCCCTGGGGACAGTGCCAGGGACGGCCCCGGGGGCCAGCAGGCCCTCGGTGACAGCTGGGGACAGAGGGGCCAGGGACGGTGACACCCCCTGGGGACAGTGCCAGGGACGGCCCCGGGGGCCAGCAGGCCCTCGGTGACAGCTGGGGACAGAGGGGCCAGGGACGGTGACACCCCCTGGGGACAGTGCCAGGGACGGCCCCGGGGGCCAGCAGGCCCTCGGTGACAGCTGGGGACAGAGGGGCCAGGGACGGTGACACCCCCTGGGGACAGTGCCAGGGACGGCCCCGGGGGCCAGCAGGCCCTCGGTGACAGCTGGGGACAGAGGGGCCAGGGACGGTGACACCCCCTGGGGACAGTGCCAGGGACGGCCCCGGGGGCCAGCAGGCCCTCGGTGACAGCTGGGGACAGAGGGGCCAGGGACGGTGACACCCCCTGGGGACAGTGCCAGGGACGGCCCCGGGGGCCAGCAGGCCCTCGGTGACAGCTGGGGACAGAGGGGACAGGGACGGTGACACCCCCTGGGGACAGTGCCAGGGACGGCCCCGCTGGGGACAGGGACAGTGACAATGACACCCCCTGGGGACAGCCCCGGGGGCCAGCAGGGCCTCGGTGACAGCTGGGGACAATGACAGTGACAGGGACAGGGAGAATGACACCCCTAGGGACAGTGCCAGGGGCAGTGACAGGGACAGGGATGGCCCCGGGGGCCAGCAGGGCCTCGGTGACAGCTGGGGACAATGACAGGTCCCCTGGATGTCCCCACTGTCCCCAATGGTCCGGATGTCCCTGATGTCCCCAGTGTCCCCCGGATGTCCCCAATGTCCCAGTGTCCCACCTTGCTCCTGGAACTTGCCGTTGGTGACCAGTTTGAAGTACAGGATGTCCCCAATGTCCCCGGTGTCCCCAGTGTCCCCAGTCCCCTGGATGTCCCCAATGTCCCTGATGTCCTCGATGTCCCCAATGTCCCCAATATCCCCAATGTCCCCAATGTCCCCGTGTCCCACCTTGCTCCTGGAACTCGCCGTTGGTGACCAGTTTGAAGGACACGAAGGCGGCGCCCTCCTGGGCCAGGCTCTGCGAGTGCGGCGGCATCGAGCCGGGGCTGCAGCCGCCCACGTCGGCGTGGTGCCCGCGGCTGGCCACGAAGAACACGGGCCGGGGCTCACCTGGCCAGAACACCTGCGACAGGTGACATGGGGTCACACACCTGGCCAGAACACCTGGGACAGGGGACACTGGGTTAGGGACACCTGGGACAGGTGACGTTGGTCACACAGGTGACACTGGCTCAGGCATGGTGCCCGCGGCTGGCCATGAAGAACACGGGCCGGGGCTCACCTGGCCAGAACACCTGCGAAAGGTGACACTGAGGGGTTAGGGACACCTGGGACAGGTGACACTGGTCACACAGGTGACACTGGGTTAGGGACACCTGGGACAGGTGACACTGGTCACACAGGTGACACTGGCTCAGGCGTGGTGCCCGCGGCTGGCCACGAAGAACACGGGCCGGGGCTCACCTGGCCAGAACACCTGCGACAGGTGACATTGGGTTAGGGACACCTGGGACAGGTGACACTGGTCAGACAGGTGACACTGGTCACACAGGTGACACTGGGTTAGGGACACCTGGGACAGGTGACACTGAGGGGTTAGGGACACCTGGCTCAGGCGTGGTGCCCGCGGCTGGCCACGAAGAACACGGGCCGGGGCTCACCTGGCCAGAACAAAGAACACGGGGCGAGCCTCACCTGGCCAGAACACCTGCGACAGGTGACATTGGGTTAGGGACACCTGGGACAGGTGACATGGGGTTAGACAGGTGACACTGGTTAGGGACACCTGGGACAGGTGACACTGGTCACACAGGTGACACTGAGGGGTTAGGAACACTTGGGGACAGGTGACACTGGGGGGGCTGAAAACCCTGGGGACACCCAGGACAGGACACCTGAGTGGGGGGACAGGTGTGCCAAGTGTGCCCAGGTGTGCCCAGGTGTGCCCAGGTGTCCCCAGGTGTGTCCCCATGTCCCCAGGTGTCCCCAGGTGTGTCACTCACAGGTGTCCCCATGTCCCCAGGTGTGCCCAGGTGTGTCCCCACCTGTCCCAGGTGTGTCACTCACGGGTGTGATGACGGTCAGGTCGGGCAGGTGGCTGCCCCCCTGTCCCGGGTGTGTCCCGGGTGTCACTCACAGGTGTCCTCAGTGTCCCCAGTGTCCCCAGGTGTGTCCCAGGTGTGTCCTGTGGTGCCCACGGCTGGCCACGAAGAACACGGGCCGGGGCTCACCTGGCCAGAACACCTGGGACAGGTGACACTGAGGGGTTAGAGACTGGGACAGGACACCTGAGGACAGGTGACATTGGGGAGAGAGTTTAGACATCTGGGACAGGTGACACTGTGGTTAGACACCTGGGACAAGTGACATGGAAGGGTTACACAGCTGACACTGGGTTAGACACACCTGGACAGGTGACATTGGGTTACACAGGTGACACTGGGGTTAGACACCTGGGACAGAACACCTGGGACAGGTGACACTGGTCACACAGGTGACACTGGGTTAGACACACCTGGGACAGGTGACATTGGGTTACACAGGTGACATTGGGTTAGACACACCTGGGACAGGTGACACTGGTCACACAGGTGACACTGGGTTAGAGACAGGGACAGGTGACATTTGGGGTTAGACACCAGGACAGAGCACCTGGGGACAGGTGACACTGGCTCAGACACTTGGGACAGGTGACATGGAGGGGTTAGGGACACCTGGGACAGAACACCTGGGACAGGTGACACTGGGGTTAGACAGGTGACACTGGGTCAGACAGGTGACACTGGGTTAGAGACAGGGACAGGTGACATTTGGGGTTAGACACCAGGACAGAGCACCTGGGGACAGGTGACACGAGGGGGCTGAAGTCCCTGGGACAGAACACCTGTGGGGACACCTGGCCAGGACACCTGGGGGGGACAGGTGACCTCGGGGGCCTCCTGAAGCCCAGGATGGGGGTCCTGAATCTGCAGGGGGGGCACAGGGATTGGGGAGGGGGTCCTGCACCCCCAGGTGTGACAGGTGTCACCTGGGTGTGCCCAGGTGTCCCCAGGTGTGTCCCAGGTGTGTCCCAGGTGTGTCCCCGTGTCCCAGGTGTGTCCCCTTGTCCCCAGGTGTCCCCAGGTGTGTCCCCAGGTGTGTCTCAGGTGTGCCCAGGTGTGTCCCAGGTGTGTCCCCATGTCCCCAGGTGTGTCCCCATGTCCCCAGGTGTGTCCCCACCTGTCCCAGGTGTGACTCACAGGTGTGATGACGGTCAGGTCGGGCAGGTGGCTGCCCCCCTGTCCCGGGCATGTCCCAGGTGTGTCCCAGGTGTGTCTCAGGAGTGCCCAGGTGTGTCTCAGGAGTGCCCAGGTGTGTCCCAGGTGTGCCCAGGTGTGTCACTCACAGGTGTGATGACGGTCAGTTCGGGCAGGTGGCTGCCCCCTGTCCCAGGTGTGCCCAGGTGTGTCCCAGGTGTGTCTCAGGTGTGTCCCAGGTGTGTCCCCATGTCCCCAGGTGTGTCCCCACCTGTCCCAGGTGTGACTCACGGGTGTGATGACGGTCAGGTCGGGCAGGTGGCTGCCCCCCTGTCCCAGGTGTGCCCAGGTGTATCCCCATGTCCCAGGTGTGCCCAGGTGTGTCCCCAGTGTCCCCAGGTGTGTCCCAGGTGTGCCCAGGTGTGCCCAGGTGTGACTCACGGGTGTGATGACGGTCAGGTCGGGCAGGTGGCTGCCCCCCGCCCGGGGGTGGTTGCTCAGGATCACGTCTCCCTCCCGCAGCTCCGGGCCCAGGTTACGGATCTGGGGGGGCAGAGGGGGGGTGAACCCCAAATCCACCCTGGGACCCAAAATTCCCCCCAGGATCCCAAATCCCCCCAGGACCCCAAATACCCCGGGAACCCCCATATCCCCCCGGGACCCCAAATCCCCTCAGAACCCCCCAAATCTCCTCCAAAATCCTCCCTGGGAACCCCAAATCCCCCCCCAGTTCCCCAGGACCCCCCAAATCCTCCTGGGACCCCAAATCCCCCCTGCCTCCAAGCCCCCCCAGAGCACCCCAAATCCCCCCCAAATCCCCCCCAAGTCTGCTCACCTGGAACTGCTCAGTTCCCGCATGGCCCTGGCACCCTCTGGGACCCCCCAAACCCCCCTGAAACCCCCCAAGATCCTGTACCTGGAACTGCACGGCTCCTGCATGGCCCTGGGACCCTCTGGGATCCCCCGGGACCCCCCAAATCCCCCCAGGACCCCTCAAATCTGCTCACCTGGAACTGCACGGCCTCCTGCATGGCGCCCAGGTGCACGGGGATGTGGGGGGCGTTGGACACGAGCCAAACCCCCCAAAGCCCCCCAAATCTCCCCCAAATTCCCTCACCTGGAACTGCACGGCCTCCTGCATGGCGCCCAGGTGCACGGGGATGTGGGGGGCGTTGGACACGAGCCCCCCGTCGGGCCCGAACAGGGCGCACGAGAAGTCCAGGCGCTCCTTGATGTTGGTGGAGATGGCCGTGCGCTGCAGCGTGCGCCCCATCTGCTCTGCGGGGCCACGGCACCCTCAGGGGCACCCCGAAACCGGGACACCCTCGGGGGGACCCAGAGAGACCCCCCAGAGACCCCCAGGACCACCCCAATCCCTGTCCTGGCCGTGCGCTGCAGCGTGCGCCCCATCTGCTCTGCGGGGCAAAACCGCGCCCCAAAACCGCACCCTCAGGGCACCCCAAAACCGGGACACCCCGGGGGGACCCAGAGAGACCCCCAGGAACAGCCCCAGAGAGCCCCGGGACCCACGGGACCACCCCAATCCCCGTCCTGGCCGTGCGCTGCAGCGTGCGCCCCATCTGCTCTGCGGGGCAAAACCGCACCCTCAGGGCACCCCGAAACCGGGACATCCCCGGGAACCACCCCAGAGACCCCCGGGAACAACCCCGGGACCCCTGGGATCACCGGGACCCCCTGTCCTGGCCGTGCGCTGCAGCGTGCGCCCCATCTGCTCTGCGGGGCCACGGCACCCTCAGGGGCACGTCCCCACTGTCCCCACCCCTGTCCTCATGCATGTCCCCTGTCCCCTGTCCCATTCTTGTCCCTGTGTCCCTGTGTGTCCCTGTCCCTTCTCTGTGTCCCTGTGTCCCCACTGTCCCTGTCCCCATCCATGTCCCTGTTCCCGTGTCTGTGTCCCCATCCCTGTCCCCGTGTCCCTGTCCCCTGTGTTCCTGTCCCCATCCCTCTCCCTCTCCCTGTCCCCGTCCCTGTGTCCCTGTCCCTGTCCCTGTGTCCCTGCATCCCCACTGTCCCTGTCCCATCCCTGTCCCCGTGTCCCCATCCCCACCCCTGTCCCTTTCCCGTGTCCCTGTCCCCGCTGTCACTGTCTGTGAGCGTCACCTGGGGGGACACCTGGGGTCACTGGGGTCATTGGGGGTCACCCCTGAGTCACCTGGGGGCACTGGGGTCACCTGGGGTCCCCCAGCAGGAACACGGGGGTGTCCCGGTACCCCCCCTCGAAATAGCACTGCGTCACCTGGGGGGACACCTGGGGTCACCCCTGGGTCACCTGGGGTCACCTGGGGTCACTGGGGTCATCCCTGAGTCACCTGGGGTCACTGGGGTCCCCCAGCAGGAACACGGGGGTGTCCCGGTACCCCCCCTCGAAATAGCACTGCGTCACCTGGGGGGACACCTGGGGTCACCTGGGGTCATTGGGGGTCACCGGGGTCACCTGGGGTCACCCCTGAGTCACCTGGGGCACCTTGGGTCACTGGGGGTCACCTGGGGACACCAGGGTCAGCCCTGGGTCACCACGGGTCATCCTCTGGTCACTTTTGGGTCACTCCGGGGTCACCCCAGGCCACCTTGGATCACCCCAGGCCACCCCTGGGTCACCCCCGGTCACTCCGGGGTCACCCCGGGCCACCTGGGGCCATCCCCTGGTCACTCTGGGGTCACCCCAGGCCACCCCTGGGTCACCCCTCGCCGTTGGTGACCAGTTTGAAGGACACGAAGGCGGCGCCCTCCTGGGCCAGGCTCTGCGAGTGCGGCGGCATCGAGCCGGGGCTGCAGCCGCCCACGTCGGCGTGGTGCCCGCGGCTGGCCACGAAGAACACGGGCCGGGGCTCACCTGGCCAGAACACCTGCGACAGGTGACACTGACGGGTTAGGGACACCTGGGACAGAACACCTGGGACCCAGGTGTGCCCAGGTGTGTCCCCAGGTGTGTCACTCACGGGTGTGATGACGGTCAGGTCGGGCAGGTGGCTGCCCCCCGCCCGGGGGTGGTTGCTCAGGATCACGTCTCCCTCCCGCAGCTCCGGGCCCAGGTTACGGATCTGGGGGGGCAGAGGGGGGGTGAACCCCAAATCCACCCTGGGACCCAAAATCCCCTCAGAACCCCCCAAATCTCCTCCAAAATCCTCCCTGGGAACCCCAAATCCCCCCCCAGTTCCCCAGGACCCCCCAAATCCTCCTGGGACCCCAAATCCCCCCTGGGAACTCCCAAATCCGGGCTCCACGCAGCCCGGCTCCAGCAGCACCGTGCTGGGACACGGGGCACGGCTCAGGGGGGACCCCAAAACCCACCCCGGTACCCCAAAAACCCATCCAGGTACCCCAAAATCCCCCCGGGGTTCCACGCAGCCCGGCTCCAGCAGCACCGTGCTGGGACACGGGCACGGCTCAGAGGGGGGGCCGAGACACCCCCGGTACCCCAAAATCCCCCGGGTACCCCAAAAACCCCCCGGGTACCCCAAAATCCCTCCCGGGTACCCCAAAAACCCTCCCGGGAACCCCAAAATCCCTCCCGGGAGTACCCCAAATCCCCCCGGGGTTCCACAGCTCACACGGGGGGGCCCGGAATCCCCGGGTACCCCAAAAACCCTCCCGGGGTCCCACAAGCCACAGGGCACAGCTCACACGGGGGGCCGAGACACCTCGGGAACCCCAAAATCCCTCCCGGGGTCCCCAAATCCCCCCAGGTACCCCAAATCCCTCCCGGGGTCCCACAGGTCAACCAGAGGTACCCCGAAATCCCCCCAGGGTCCCCCCGTCCCTGCTGTCCCCCTGTCCCTGTGTGTCCCTGTCCCATCTCTGTCCCCATCCCTGTCCCTGTCCCTTTCCCCTGTCCCTGTCCCCGCTGTCACTGTGTCCCTGTCCCCATCACTGTCCCTATCCCTGTCCCTGTGTCCCTGTCCCTCTGTGTCCGTGTCCCTGTCCCCTGTCCCTGCTGTCCCCGCTGTCACTGTGTCCCTGTCCCTGTCCCCTGTGTCCCCCCTTTCCTTGTCCCTGTGTCTCTGTCCCCTGTCCCTGCTGTCCCCGCTGTCACTGTGTCCCTGTCCCTGTCCCCCTGTCCCCTGTGTCCCCCCTTTCCTTGTCCCTGTGTCCCTGTCCCCGTGTCCCTGTCCCCGTGTCCCTGTCCCCATCCAGTCCCCCAGCAGGAACACGGGGGTGTCCCGGTACCCCCCCTCGAAATAGCACTGCGTCACCTGGGGGGACACCTGGGGTCACCCCTGGGTCACCTGGGGTCACCTGGGGTCACTGGGGTCATCCCTGAGTCACCTGGGGTCACTGGGGTCCCCCAGCAGGAACACGGGGGTGTCCCGGTACCCCCCCTCGAAATAGCACTGGGTCACCTGGGGGGACACCTGGGGTCACCTGGGGTCATTGGGGGTCACCGGGGTCACCTGGGGTCACCCCTGAGTCACCTGGGGCACCTTGGGTCACTGGGGGTCACCTGGGGACACCGGGGTCAGCCCTGGGTCACCACGGGTCATCCTCTGGTCACTTTTGGGTCACTCCGGGGTCACCCCAGGCCACCTTGGATCACCCCAGGCCACCCCTGGGTCACCCCCGGTCACTCCGGGGTCACCCCGGGCCACCTGGGGCCATCCCCTGGTCACTCCCGGGTCACCCCTGGGCCACCTGGGGCCACGACCAAACTCCTGCTGGTACCTGGGGGGGGGACAGGGACATGGGGACAGCCACAGGGACATGGGACACACAGGGAGAGGCAGCGACAGTGACACTGGGACACAGGGACAGCCACAGTGACATGGGACACGGGGACAGGGACAGGGACAGTGACACCGGGAGACAGACAGGGACACCAACAGGGACAGGGGATATGGACAGCAGCAGTGTCACCGGGACAGGGACAAGGGGACAGGGACACGGACAGTGACACTGGGACACAGGGACAGCGAGCCCGGGACACAGGGACAGCCACAGTGACATGGGACACGGGGACAGGGACAGGGACAGTGACAGCAGGTCACAGACAGGGACAGCAACAGGGACACGGACAGCAACAGTGTCACCAGGACAGGGACACAGGGACAGGTACAGGGGACAGGGGGACAATGCAGGGGACAGCGACCCCCGGGGACAGGGACACACGGAGAGAGGGCATTGGGGTGCTGGGATGAGGGGATTGTGACAGCACTGGGACAGGCAGGTGGCACTGGGATGGGGTTGGTGGCACTGGGACAGGCAGGTGGCACTGGGACAGGGCGAGTGGCACTGGGACAGGCAGGTGGCACTGGGACAGGGCGAGTGGCACTGGGACAGGGCTGGTGGCACTGGGATGGGGCTGGTGGCACTGGGATGGGGCGGGTGGCACTAGGACAGGACTGGTGGCACTGGGACAGGGTTGGTGGCACTGGGATGGGTGGCGGTGGCACTGACCGGTCAGTGAAGGCGGCCAGGAAGTCCCCAGCCGTGCAGGAGCTGGGCTGGGTGGCACTGGGATGGGGTTGGTGGCACTGGGACAGGGCTGGTGGCACTGGGATGGGGGACACACAGGGACACACAGGGACACACCGGGGACATGGGACACACCAGCACCGCCCGGCCCGGGATGGTGAAACCAAACTCCTGCTGGTACCTGGGGACAGGGACAGGGACACCTGGGGACAGGGACAGGGACATGGGGACAGCCACAGGGACACACAGGGACATACACAGGGACACACCGGGGACACACGGGGACATGGGACACACCGGGACACACAGGGACACACGGGGACACACAGGGACACACGGGGACACACCAGCACTGCCCAGCCCGGGATGGTCAAACCAAACTCCTGCTGGTACCTGGGGGTGACAGTGACAATGACAGGGACACAGGGACAGGTACAGGGGACAGGGGGACAATGCAGGGGACAGCGACCCCCGGGGACAGGGACACACGGAGAGAGGGCATTGGGGTGCTGGGATGAGGGGATTGTGACAGCACTGGGACAGGCAGGTGGCACTGGGATGGGGTTGGTGGCACTGGGACAGGCAGGTGGCACTGGGACAGGGCGAGTGGCACTGGGACAGGGCTGGTGGCACTGGGATGGGGCTGGTGGCACTGGGATGGGGCGGGTGGCACTAGGACAGGACTGGTGGCACTGGGACAGGGTTGGTGGCACTGGGATGGGTGGCGGTGGCACTGACCGGTCAGTGAAGGCGGCCAGGAAGTCCCCGGCCGTGCAGGAGCTGGGCTGGGTGGCACTGGGATGGGGTTGGTGGCACTGGGACAGGGCTGGTGGCACTGGGATGGGGTTGGTGGCACTGGGACAGGGCTGGTGGCACTGGGATGGGGTTGGTGGCACTGGGACAGGGCTGGTGGCACTGGGATGGGGTTGGTGGCACTGGGACAGGGCTGGTGGCACTGGGATGGGGTTGGTGGCACTGGGACAGGCAGGTGGCACTGGGACAGGGCGAGTGGCACTGGGACAGGGCTGGTGGACAGGGCTGGTGGCCCCAGGACAGGGCTGGTGGCCCCAGGACAGGGTGGCAGTGGCACCGACCTGTCGGTGAAGGCAGCCAGGAAGTCCCCGGCCGCGCAGGTGCTGGGCTGGGGGTTCCACGCAGCCCGCTGGTGGCACTAGGACAGGACTGGTGGCACTGGGATGGGTCAGATGACACTGGGATGGGTCAGGTGGCCCCAGGACAGGGCTGGTGGCACAGGGACAGGGTGGCGGTGGCACTGACCTGTCGGTGAAGGCGGCCAGGAAGTCCCCAGCCGCGCAGGTGCCGGGCCGGGCCGGGTGTCCCTGTGCCGACACCATCAGGGCGCAGTCGGTGCCCTCGTAGCGCAGGTGCAGGAACGGCTCCGTGCGGATCTGCTCCCTGGGGACAGCGACACCCTGTCACACTGTCACCCTGTCACCGGGGCACCGGGGCACCGTGTCACCCTGTGTCACCCTGTGTCACCCTGTCCCTGTGTGCAGGAACGGCTCCGTGCGGATCTGCTCCCTGGGGACAGCGACGCTGTCACCCTGTCACTGTGTCACACTGTCACACTGTCACCCTGTCCCCGTGTGCAGGAATGGCTCCGTGCGGATCTGCTCCCTGGGGACAGCGACGCTGTCACCCTGTCCCCGTGTGCAGGAACGGCTGCGTGCGGATCTGCTCACTGGGGACACCGACACTGTCACCGTGTCACCCTGTCACACTGTCACACTGTCACCAGGGCACTGTGTCACCCTGTCCCTGTGTGCAGGAACGGCTCCGTGCGGATCTGCTCCCTGGGGACAGTGTCACTGTCACCCTGTCACCCTGTCACTGTGTCACACTGTCACTGTGTCTCCCTGTCCCTGTGTGCAGGAACGGCTCCGTGCGGATCTGCTCCCTGGGGACAGTGTCACTGTCACCCTGTCACCCTGTCACTGTGTCACACTGTCACTGTGTCTCCCTGTCCCTGTGTGCAGGAACGGCTCCGTGCGGATCTGCTCCCTGGGGACAGTGTCACTGTCACCCTGTCACCCTGTCACTCTGTCACCCTGTCACACTGTCACTGTGTCACACTGTCACGCTGTCACCCTGTCCCTGTGTGCAGGAACGGCTCCGTGTGGATCTGCTCCCTGGGGACAGTGACACTGTCACCGTGTCACCCTGTCACACTGTCACCCTGTCACACTGTCACCATGTCACCCTGGCACTGTGTCACTGTGTCACCCTGGAACTGTGTCACTGTATCACACTGTCACCCTGTCACACTGTCACCGTTTCACCGGGGCACTGTGTCACTGTGTCACTGTGTCACCCTGTCCCCGTGTGCAGGAACGGCTCCGTGCGGATCTGCTCCCTGGGCACAGACACTGTGTCACACTGTCACCCTGGCACCATGTCACACTGTCACCGTGTCACACTGTCACCCTGGTCCCAGTGTGTCCATGTCACGCTGTTCCAGTGCCACCGTGTCCTCACTGTCACCCTGGCCCAGTATCACCCTATCCCAGTGTCACCTCATCATCCTGTCCCCAGTGTCACCACCACTGTGTGAGCTCGTCCTCACTGTCCCCACTGTCACTGTCCCTGTGTCACCATGTCCCCAGTGTCACCGTGTCACCCTGTCCTCAGTGTCCCTGTGTCAGCCTGTCCCCAGTGTCACCGCTGCCACTACCGCCACTGCATCTCTGTGGCCCCGGGACCCCAGCCCTGCTCCCACATCCCCCCACCCCTGGTGTCCCCTGTCCCCATCCTGCCACCCCTGCTGCCCCCTGTCCCATCTCCAGTGTTCCCTGTCCCCATCCCCACTGTCCCTGCTGTCCCCACTGTCCCCACTGTCCCCACTCTCCCATCCCCGCTGTCCCCAGCGTCCCCTGTCCCATCTCCAGTGTCCCCTGTCCCCCATTCCCATTGTCTCCTGTCCCCTGTCCCCATCCCCACTGTCCCTGCTGTCCCCAGTGTCCCCTGTCCCCACTGTCCCCATCCTCCCATCCCCGCTGTCCCCAGTGTCCCCTGTCCCATCTCCAGTGTCCCCTGCCCCATCCCCAGTGTCCCCAGTCCCCATCCCCGCTGTCCCCACTGTCCCATGTCCCCATCCCCGCTGTCCCCAGTGTCCCATGTCCCGCTGTCCCCACCTCCCCAGGTGTCCCCATGTCCCCTGTCCCTGTCCCCACCTCTCCAGGTGTCCCCTCGGGCTCGTGGCGCGTGGTGGCCTCCAGGATGGCCATGGTGGACAGGGGGATGTGCGCTTCCTGTCCCCGCTGTCCCCTGTCCCCCTGTCCCGCTGTCCCCTGTCCCCGCTGTCCCGCTGTCCCCGCTGTCCCGCTGTCCCCTGTCCCCGCTGTCCCCTGTCCCCGCTGTCCCCTGTCCCCTGTCCCTTGTCCCCGCTGTCCCCTGTCCCCGCTGTCCCCGCTGTCCCCTGTCCCCTGTCCCCGCTGTCCCCCGTAGCTCACGGGGCGAAGCCCTGGGCGCCGAGCGCGTCCCGGCAGCGCCGCTCCAGCTCGCGGAGGCGCGCCTCGAGCCGCGGGAACGCGGCGGGGCCGTACGGGAGCGCGCACGGCTCCTGCTCCTCCTGCACCGCGTCCGCCAGCGCCAGCCCCAGCGCCGAGAGCAGCCCGCTGTGCCTGCGGGGACACGGCTGTCACCG